ATCGCAAGGTACTTGGTTAACATGCCTGTCGAAGCTTCCTGGTTTGAGATGCTAAATTGAAGGAATCTTTGCCATGCCAATCAAAGGGCTTGGCCATGAGACCAATTGAAAGGCCTTGTATCCATGCCAATCTAAGACCTTGTTAAAATTCCAATCGAAGGATCTTGTTACAAGGCCAATCGAAAGGATTTGCTAAAATGCCAATCGAAAAGCCTTGTAAACAGGCCAATCGAAGGACCTTTGTCCATGCCAATCAAAGGGCGCTATGAAGATGCCAATCGAAAGGAATTTTAGAGATGCCAATCAAAAGGCATTTTGCAGACACCAATCGAAAGGCATTTTGGAGATGCCAATCGAAATGCACTTTGACCAACTTCAAAATTTGTTATTTTTCTTCAAACAAGTGTTTGTAGCCACCCATGTAAGAGAAGATCTTGGGGTATAACAAGTGGTAACTGGTTACCCTCAGACTGGTAATCGGTTACACCCCATTGTAACCAAAATCCACACTACTAACTTCATCTGGTAACCGATTACCCTCAAACTGGTAACCGGTTACACCCCCTGAAATATCAATTTTCTACTTTTTTTTTTGGCACGAAAATCATATTTTTCCAACTAAAAACCCTAATTTTTCTACATCAAAATGCATAATTTAGTTTATAACATTACCACACATCACATACCACAATCTAACATCATTACACAAATTAATCTCATCATTCAAACATGAAATATCACAATACTTCACAATTTCAACAATTTCCTCACAATTGCACCATGTTCATCAATTTCATCATAAACCCCAATAAACCCTACATACACCTAAACCCCATATCAGTTATAATAAAAAAGATTACCCCATTACCAAGTTATTCCTAGCGGATGATTCTTCTGTTAGAGCAAGATTTGGATCTATGTTTAAATCTATGTGCAGATAAGAAATTCTAATTGATTCAGGACTGCTGTTTGGAGAATCAGAAATATGCCAAGCACATCAGAAGACTATTCAAATCCATTTCTAATGAAACATCAATAGTTATGTTCAATGCTGAATGTTCGACAAGAAAAGAATCTAGATGAGTTTCTAAGAAGAACTCAAGCTTCCAACGCAATGTTCAGAAGTCATGATTTGTTCATCAAAAAAGTTGCTACTCATATCTCTAAAGACAAAGTCAAGATTCTGAAGTCTCGACTAGTTCATGGAATATGCACTTATATTCAACATCAGAAGTATTCCATAAGAAGAAAGGATGATATCTTCACAAGTCAATCTACTCAACAGAAGAACTATTATGACCAATTCTAAAGAAACATCAACAATTCTAAGGAATGTTGAATGTTCATTAGAAATGGAATCAAGTAGGTTCTCAAGAAAGTGTCACTCTCAAGATATCAGAAACGAAAAATCTCAGATATCCAGAGAAAACAATTCAAGATCAGAAACCAAGATGTAGCTGATATAAGCTGTTACTTTCAGCTCAATCCAAAGATCAAAACTCAAGAGATCATAAAGAGGGAATTCAACGTCAAAATAAGATGCACTAATATAAGCTTCTGCTTCAAAAATCAGACATCACATGTGCAACTAAGAAAAGTTGATTATCAAAAATCAAGACGAAGTGGATTAGGAAAGCTTTCACTCAAATAAATTGTTCCTCAAATAAGTTGTTGCTTGTATATCTGAAGACAATGTTCAAATATCTGAAAGACTTTGACTCTACAACAAAGAAGAATCTTCTGGATCATGATCATTCTTCAATAAAAAATCAATACAGCAAGAAGAATCAAAGATCAAGAACTCAAAGCCTTGAGAATCTGAAAGTTTGTTGCCACAATATCTGATTTCAAGATCTAAACATCAGAAAAGCTTTTGATATCAACATCATAAAAGCTTTCTCCTACAATGACAAGACATGTTTCTCAGATAAGTTGTTACTTAAAATTTGAAGACAAGAATCCACTATTGAAAGATTCTAAAATGAAACATCTTCTCATTTAATCTTCATCTCTTAGATCAGATGAAACATACACCTTCAAGACTTGTTCTAAGATCAGAAGTCAAGCTTCATGTTTCCGAAAGGTTGTTGCTAATTTCTCCGAAGACAAGTTATGGTTTCTGATTTCTCTGATACTCCTATGCTATGACAAAGTAGTTTCTGAACTACTCATCAACCAATCATTAGAAGAAAGAAGACAAAGTAATTGATCTCTTCCAAGCTTAATACTTCAGAATCAAAAGTACATCATAAGAAGATAAAGATCAAGAAACTTAGTCAAGAAGAATACAATAAAAACAGTACACCACAAATTCCACTATCAGGATATGGGTTATACTATTCAAAGAAGTTGTCTTCTACGTTTTATTCTAACTACTACAAGCAGCAGCCTAAGGAAACAAACATTTCGTAACGTTCCAAACCTCTCTTGAATCTATACATTGGGAATCAATCGTTGGAAGGAGAAAATACCTTTCTATCCTTACAATGACTCTTTTTGAAGGCTGTAAAAGGAGATCAATGAAATGAAGAAAAGTTGTTGGAAAGCTATGGATGTAGGTGATGTTAGAGTTGTTACAGTGAACATGCTAAAGCTACCCAAAGATAAAGAAAGAAGATGAAGAAGAAATCTACAAGATGATACTTAAATTCTTATCAAATACATCGTGGTCGAAATATGAAGAAGCAAGGAGTTATTTCTCATAACTTGCTCAACGAAGAAGATGCAGACAAGAAGACTATGAGATGCTACACTTAAACTTAGATTATATTCATCTTTGTAGAATCATATAAACACAAGAGTTGTTGCTCATATTGTATTATATCTTAAGTTTTTCATGTAAATTGTTTGAACACAAGAGTTGTTGCTCAAAATTGTGTTAAACAATATGTACTTAAACTAGGAGTAATCTGTTTGTTAAGAAGCACTCATGTAATCTCCAGAAAAACAATTATGTATAGAATTGGTGTTGCCTCAAGTGATCTAGTGAAGATCTAATACTTGGGAAGAGTTTGGATGTGGTCATCATGGATGAAATCCTGTTAAGAAATACCAGGTTGGTCAGATTTCTTAAGGGGTCAATGATTGTTATGTCTCGTGGAGATCACTAAACGTATCATTATATTGTTCCTTGAGAGTCTCGATTGAGTCAGGATTAATAAGAAAGCATAGGTTGGGGTCTTTGTAGAATTGGAAATAAGGATCAGCTGAACTTGTTGGGGTTGTCAGCAAGGTTGATCAAACTTATTATTATGAATTGTAATCAGATTTGGCTATAGTGGATTAAGTCCTTGTTGAAGGAAAAATTACCCGAGGAGGGTGGACAAGATGTAGTCTAGTTAATGGTGAATATGGATAAACTGAATGTGTCTCTTTTTATTTCTAGCATTCTATATTCCTTCATAGTTTTATAAAATAATGTTCAAAAGGGGAAAAAATTTTAAAACCCAATTCAACCCCCTACCCCTTTCTTGTGTCTTTATCTACCTTCAATTGGTATCAGAGCCCGGCTCTGTTATTGATTTTTGAATTAAACACTTAACCTTATAGAGATATCCAGAAAGAGAAAAACTATGAATTCTATAGATTGAAATGAAAGAAATATGGATAAATTGAAAATATTCAGTTTATCAGAAAAGGCATCTTGGTTATAAAAGTGATTCTGAAATATCAAGAACAAGATGCATCTGAAGATATTCTCTCAATAGTCAACTGAGCAAATCATGAGAAGAAATCATTAGGCGGGTCAACTCTAGAAAAAGAAGACGCAAGCTCTCAGAAGCATGAATGGGATAAAATTCCTTGACTTTCAAGAATCACTTGAGAAGTTATTAGAAACGAACCCATGAAGTGACAAAAGTTGTTATCTAAACTCTCTCTTATATTTTATGATTTAATTGAATGATTGATTCGATAATACATTTGTCTATGCATATTCATCATTACACCGTAAAGTGTCTCGGCATGCTTTAAAATGTTTTCTTGAAACTAGTTCTAGGTCATTATTATTTTCCTTGTCTCTATGATTTCGTCTCTTATTAATACTTTCAAACTTCCTTATAAATAATTACTTTTTTCACTCTCACACGATTTTGTCACTTCCTAAAGCAGTTATGAATTCTCAGAACAAAATTGTTCATAAAAGGCCTCCACTTCCTCACTTCAAACCTTTTCCTCATCTTCTATTAACATCACATGTGCATCAATAGAGTATAAAAGAACAACCTTATGATGCTCCTGAAGTCATCTTATTCATAAATTTGGATTCCTTAAACGTTCTTTGTGAACCTCTTGTGGATTTTCAAAATATCAAGGATACCGGTTTTGATATTTTAGCTAATGTAATGAAGGAAGGATGGGAAAAATACTTCAATCTTCTAAATGGACCCATTCTCCCTCATCTTGTGAGATATTTTTGGATTCATGCAAAATATTCCACCTACCAAGTAGTTTCATTTGTTAAAGGGAAGAAAGTCATCATCAATGAACAAATCATTGCAAGAGTTCTTGATCATGATGGTAAAGGAATAAGATTCTATGAAACAAATAGCAGATGGTTGGATGCGGTAGAAATTTATCAAGCTATATTCAAAAGACAAAAGGCTTCGAAGAAAAATGGTCTTCATGATAATATAAGGATTTGGGCCAAAATCCTTGTGTCAACAACTATTCAAGAATATCCAAGGAAATATGAAGCTTGCATATCTGGAGATCTTATATATTTGTTGTACTTCATTCCCTCAGGTTTTTATATAAATATCCTCTATCTCCTATTTTATTATTTGAGAGGTAATGTGAGAAAGACAAGAGAAGGAAATGATAAGAAGAAGCATTAGATTCCTTTGGGAAGATTCATATCCTGCATCATAAATAAGAGTATTGATCTGAAAGTTTTTGATGAAAAAGACCTTGATAAGACTTTCGGAGAATCCTTCAATGCTGCAAATTTGGTAGAAATCGGGATTCTCGAAAAGGTATCTAAACCACTGGAAGAAAAGAATATGAATGCTGACATTTCAGGTAAATCTCCACAATTCACAGCCCAGAATCAAAATGAAAGTCCGAAGGTAATGGTTCCCTTCATGAACTCCAACGTAGAAGCGGATCATGCTGAAGTAAGAAATTGGAAGGGTAAGAAGTCATATACCTTTTTGCAGGATTTGAATCTATCTAGTAAGAAAAGACAAATTATTGGAGCTATGTTTCAAGATTCTGAGTCTTCACAGAAAAAGAAGAAACAAAAGAAAAAGAGGAACTTCAACTGAAAACACTACCACAGTAACTACAACTGTACATTCCCCATCTGACTACAAGCCTTATGATTCTCACTCTGCTACCATTCCTTCAGGATCTGATCTAAGGAATTTTGTTTCAACTATCCCTCCATCCACCCCACTATACTCCACAACTGTTACTACCTTACCTCTTCCAAAATCTACACTTTCATTCAGACCAATCATTTCTCAAACAATTCCTTCAGAAACTGCTAGTCTAACCACCTCTATCGCACAATCACTTTTTCAACTAGTCCCTTTTAAATGTTTCCTCATTTCACTACAAACATATCTTATGCTAACATCACTCAAACCCTACAAATTTTAACAACCTTTTCAGAAGCTTCTAAAGACAATGGAGGAGATGTAGAAGGAACAAGTGACAATTATAGAGATGTTGGCCAAACAAATGGAATTCAACAACTTCATTAAGGATTTTATTGGAAAGTTTGAATAAAACAACCAGAACACTTCTTTACCTTAGGAACTTATTATCATTAAGTTGTTTAACTTTTTTTTGCTTAACCTAGCTATTTTTTTCTTCACGCATGTTACTGTTTGCTCAATCAAGAAAAATATTAAAATGTTTTTGCTATTAAGAAAAGTTGATTAGTAAAATATATTCATTTTCATGTTTCCTATGTCCTCTAGCTTACAGTATCTTGGAAATTACATTTGTTTTCTTTATCTTCTCATATTTAATTATTATTTTAAGTCCTCCGAGTTTGATTGCATTCGTAAGAAAATAAATTCTCTTGTTGTGTCCTTTTAATACTGTCTTTTGATTAATATTTGTTATATGTTTTTTTTTCTTGTTTGTCTGTTTGGAATTAATTATTGTATCTGTTAAGGGACTCTCTGATGTTCTATTTATTGTTATGTGTTTGTAACCCTTTCTCCTTGAAATAATTGAAATTTGATACTTGAGGGTCACTAATTTTTTTATCACTATGTTTCATATGTTTAAGTAATCCTAAGTCTAAATTCAATCAAGTCCTTATATTACTATTGTTTGTTGTTTTCTTGGAGATTTGTTGTTTAAGCTCCTTTTTTTAAATTCAAGTCTCTTGTTTTATCTTTTGAATTTAGTCAGATGTGCTTAAAAATATTTCAATAATCAATTAAGCATTTCTTATATCTTTTTTATTATGACAAAAAGGGGGAAAATAATGATTTTGATTAATAACAATTCTCTAAAACCTCGTGATTTACATGACATTCTAACATGATATAAATTATCAAATTACTTAGAATTGTAAGTTATTAGTGCACCTAAGAGGGGGGGGGGGTGAATGGGAAATTCTCAAATTTTTAGGATTATTTTTCTGGTTGTAATGAAGGTTATTAAAGCGGTAAATGGCAGGAAAATAAATGACACCAGATATATCCCGGTTCCTCTTATACTTCGAAGGTACTCCGGTCCCCTTGCCAACACGGAAGAGATTTTACTACAGTTAGAATTATTGTACAATCTATTCACACTAATTGTGATGCTTACTATCTAACCTATAGGGAGATCAAAAACTCTTAAAATCTTTAAGATCTAAACACTAAGTGCAAGAAGAACAATCCTCTTCAATACACACACTTGCTTCCAACAATCCTGGACAGCAAGGGAAATAATAATGAATTCTTAAATGTTTACAATGTTCAACAAGCCTGATTAACACTATGGTTATGAAGAACTATGTCAAGAATCAATAGAAAGTTTATGGTCAGTTTAAGTGCTCACTTTATGTAAAAACTATGATGAGTATGAAAGTTGAGTTTCAAAGTTTCATACAAATTCAGATTTTTCTAAGTTTGAAGATTTGTAGAAAAGTTGAATTCAAAGTTTTAGAATTAATTTTTGTATTGTAAACCAGAAATGAAAATGATATTTATACATGTAATGCACCCTTTCAAAAGACTCCAAATTCATATAGGAGTGTAATGGTTCATGGCCAAAAGTTTCCATTCAATAACCATCATAACATAATTGTTTTACAAAACTATATTAGTGGTTGCCGATTACAGGTAAGTAGTAATCGGTTACCCAGACTTTGTAACGTTCAAAATTTTCAAAAACGTGAAGTAGTAGCCGGTTACCCAGAAGCAGTAACTGGTTACCACTGAGTGAAAATAGTTTTCTAGAAATAAATAAAAGGGTTATAGACGGTTACTCAACCTAGTAACTGATTACTACTGTTTTGAAAATGAAAAATCAGTTTTAGAAAAGCTTGTAAATGTAATGTAAATGAGCTTAAGTTCACGAAACATGTATACATGATAGTTAGACATATTATGAACACTTAGACATACTTAAACTTCTTATTAATACTTGTACCTATGTGATGGTGATGAATCTTCAAAAGTCTTCATCTTTAAAAGTAGCTTGTACACTTGAGAAGTCTTCATAACTTGATCTTTAAAGTTTGATATATATATATATATATATATATATATATATATATATATATATATATATATATATATATATATATATATATATATATATATATATATATATATATATATATATATATATATATATATATATATAGGAAAATTACTCATTTTGACCCCTTAACTATATCTTTGGGTTCATATTGGTCCCTTAATTGAAGAGCTTCTTTTACACATCTTTGATATTGCTTTGTATGGATACCATGGTGGCCTTCATAAAGACACATTGATGGAGTGCATGTATTCACATTCTCCCCCTTTTTCATGTAGACAACCAATTTGACATATGTTGTTGCTTGTGCATCAAGGTGTGTTTCTTGCACGAGTATCATAGTGGAATTACTTATCCCCCTAAGATTGATTTCTCCCCCTGAATATAGCCTTATGATTCCAAGAGGATGTTTATAAAATCATTTTGACCCCTTAACTATATCTTAGGGTTCAGATTGGTCCCTTAATTGAAGAGATTCTTTTACACATCCTTGATATTGCTTTGTATGGATTCCATGGTGGCCTTCATAAAAACACATTGATGGAGTGCATGCATTCACATTCTCCCCCTTTTTGATGTAGACAACCAATTTGACATATGTTGTTGCTTGTGCATCAAGGTGTGTTTCTTGCACGAGTATTATAGTGGAATTACTTCTCCCCATAAGGTTGACTTCTCCCCCTGAATATAGCCTTATGATTCCAAGAGGATGTTTATAAAATGTGTATAAACATTTTTGCACCATTAAACATAAGCAAACACAATGTCTTCTCCCCCTTTGTCAATATCAAAAAGGATGGGGAAAAGAATTAAGAAAAACATTGATAAAATTTAAGAGAAAAATAACATACTTAACACATGAAATAAAATTGCATACTTAACCATAAGAGACATAAAGTCTTTGATATTACATAGTAGAAACGGTACGGAAGTGAAAGTGCGACAGGAAATTAAAGACATATTTGAAAAACAAGAGCAATAACCACAGAATATTCAGAAATACTTAAGCATTATGGTCATAATCCTGATCATCCTCATCATCCTCATCCATAGAGTCCTCATGAATTGGTGTTATAAGGGCTTCCAATTCTTGACGGATGTCATGAATTCAGAAATCATGAAATTTTCCATAGAGTAGATTTTGTGATAGAGCATTTCATTCGAGACAGGACCTTCATACACGGGTGGAGGAGGTTGAAGGATATTTTGAGTAGGAGAAGAAGAGGAACCTTTCTATCTATGCTTTAAAATACCATCTTTATCCTTGAAAATTCCCATATTCTCGTTTGCTGCCGAAATAGAGGTATCACAGTATTTTAAGGTCATTTTGTTTACCATTTCTCCTTGGAGGCTAATTTTAGCATGCTTAAGTATCTTTGTTATCCAATGAGCATAAGGTAAACCACCAGATAAATCTTTTTGATGTTCCATAAAATTCACAAACAAGTATGCCCAATTCATTTGAAGATTATTCTTAGTTGCATACAAGACTTGCATTTCAACATCAGTTATTTGAGAGTGATTAGAATTTTTAGGGAGAAAAATGTAAGCAATGAAATAATGAAGCATTCTATCACTTACAGAGAGATTGGAAGAGTACAAGATCAGTCGGTTGGAGGAGGACCCTGCTTCCTTTTTCTTATAAAAAATTTCCTTCTCGGAAAGACGAGAAATGTTGAAGTAGTAGCGGGTACAATTATAATCATCAACATCAATAGTGCAACCATGTTTGATGAACAATCTTGAACTTGGAACGCCTAAGAATTTACCGGATTGAAATATTGACATGTTAATACTCTTCCCCTTGACCTTTGCGGTGATGATTCCACCGACACATATTTTAAAAGTTGCATAAAATTCACGAACCAAATCGGGGTAATATGAGCCACTTTAGGAGATGAGATCGGTTATGTTTTGTTTTACCAAAAGTTCAGGAAAATTAAAACTTGTGTTTGGGAAGGATGAGAGACTACCATACTTTACCGGGGTGAGATGGTGGTGTTGTACCCCAAAATTTGCCCTCCCATTTTCTTCAAAGTTTTGACAAGCATCATCTCAATTTGCTCAAGTCTACTCAAGGCTTGCACAGTTCAAACACCCTCATAAGCCAGTCAAATTAGGGTTTTGGTTCTTGCAAGGAAGTTGAGGTTTTCAAGGGATAAATCAAGTCACATATGCCTATATACATTGCCAAGCACCTACATGCCAAGTTTCAAGGCTCACAAGGTCAACTTGCACAGTCAAAAACCCTAATTGCTTCACAGTCAACTGCAGGGGCAAAATGGTCATTTGGCAGTCAAAAGTCAAAAAATTTGGTCAACATCTCATTTTGAAGCCACAATCATCATTTTATCAAGTCTTGATCATGATTTCACAAGAATGGCTCAAAAATCATCAAGATGTCAAAAGTTTCTATTTTTGGATAGCTGAAAAGTCAACTGTAACTTGACCAAGGCATAACTTTTTCATGGTTCATCAGAAAAATCCCATCCAATGCTAATTTTGAAGGGGATGACATTTCCTACAACTCATCTTCACATTCCAAGTCCAAGAA